TTTATTATGTTTAGAAATGTTCCTTGTATTTCTGATCTTTCTAAGACCTTTATCATGAAGGGGTGTTGGATTTTGTCAAAGGCTTTTTCAGCATCTAATGAGATGATCATATGGGTTTTTTCTTTCAGTCTAAACAGAATTCTTAACAGAAGAATCTCAAATGGCTGAGATCCATTTAAAGACATGCTCAACATCCTTATTCATCAGGGAAATGCAAATCAAAATGACTCTGAGATACTATCTTACACCTGTCAGAACAGCTAAGATCAAAAACACTGAGGACAGCTTATATTTGAGAGGATGTGGAGTAAGGGGAACACTACTCCACTGTTGGTGGGAGTGCAAACTTGTGCAGCCACTTTGGAAATCAGTATGTTGATTTCCCAGAAAATTGTGAATCACCCTCCCTCAAGACCCAGTGATACCACGCTTGGGCATATACCCAAGGGATGCTCAATCATACCACAAGGACATTTGCTTAACTATGTTCATAGCAACATTATTTGTAATAGCCAGAACCTGGAAACAACCTAGATGCCCCTCAACCAAAGAATGGATAAAGAAAATGTGGCACATATACACAATGGAGTACTATTCAGCAGTAAAAAACAATGACATCATGAAATTTGCAGGCAAATGTGTGGAACTAGAAAATATCATCCTGAGTGAGGTAACCCAGACTCAGAAAGACAAACACAGCATGTACTCACTCATAAGTGGATACTAGGTATAAAGCAAAGGATAACCAGACTACAACCCACAGCTCCAAAGAAGCTAGGTAACAAGGAGGACTCTAAGAGGGATGCATGGATCACCCCGGGAAGGGGAAATAGATGAGATCTCCTGGGTAAACTGGGGGTGGGGAGGCAGTAGAGGGGAGGGGTTAGGGGATGAGAACACGAGGGAACAGGATGGTTGAGCTAGGGGATGGAGTGGGAGAGCAAAGAAAGAAATGTCTTGATAGAGGGGAGACATCATGAGGATAGGGAGAAACTTGGTGCTAGGGAAATTCCCAGGAATCCACAAGGATGATCCCAGCTAAGACTACTAGCAATAGTTGAGAGGTGCCTGAACTGGCCTACCCCAGTAATCAGATTGGTGAGTACCCTAACTCTCATCATAGAGCCTTCATCCAGTAACTGATGGAAGCAGTTGCAGAGATCCACAGCCACGCACCAGGCTGAGCTCCAGGAGTCCAGTCAAAGAGAGGGAGGAGGGATTCTGTGAACAAAGGGGGTCAAGATCCTGATGGGGGAAATCTACAGAGACAACTGAACCAAGCTTGTGGGAACTCAAGAACTCTAGACCAACAGCTATGGAGTCTGCATGGCTCTGAACTAGGCCCTCTGCGTAATCAAGACAGTTGTGTAGCTTGGTCTGTTTGGGGGCCCCTGGCAGTGTGATCAGGATCCATCCATGAGCTGGGCTTTCTGGAGTCCATTCCCTTATTGTGGGACACCTTGCTCAGCCTTGATGCAGTGGGGAGAGGCTTGGTCCTGCCTCAACTGAATGTACCAGGCTTTGTTTGTTTTTTAAATAGATATTTATTTATTATATATACAATGTTCTGTCTGCATGTATGCCTGCAGGCCAGAAGAGGGCACCAGATCTCATTACAGATGGTTGTGAGCCACCATGTGGTTGCTGGGAATTGAACTCAGGACTTCTGGAAGAGCAGCCAGTGCCCTTAACTGCTGAGCCATCTCTCCAGCCCTGTACCAGGCTTTGTTGACTCCCCATGGGAGACCTTACCCTTTTGGAGGAGTAGGTAGTAGGTGGTTGGGTGGGGATGTGGGGGAGGGCAGGGAGGAGGGATGGGAGGGGAACTGTGGTTGATATGTAAAATGAACACAAATTTTTTTTAAAAAGGGGGAAGGATTAGGGGTAACTTAATGGCAGAGCTCTTCCTGAGTAGAGGCCCCAGGCTCATCCAGCATTAAAAAAAAAACCCCAAAACCCCAAAACCAACCACAGCAGAAAATGCCCAAGAGGAAGGTGTTCTCAAGTTGGGCCTGTGCTTCCTGCCTCGTCCTCTCTAAACAACCCGTCTCACAAAAGAAAATGACTCATGCAAATGGGAGCTGCCTTTTGAGAACAAGGTTTAATTCAGGTCCAGAACTATGATTATATTATGATAAAAATCACTACTAATGCCAGCGTTGCCTTTAAGAACCACTTGGGTTGGGTTTTCCTGATTACTTCTGAAAAACCAAAGGGAAGCCACCTAGTGCCTGGCTTAGCTGTGGCAATGAACGTGCATTTACCTTATTTACCCCAGAGAAGCGCACTGGCTACGTGTTTCTCGATGTCTCCAGTAGTCTAGTTCACCTGTCGGCATTGAGCTGTCCTGAATGCTTTCTCCCACTTCCTGTCCTTTGAAACCAAGACATGCTTTGAATTCTATCGCTTAAATCTTGCTTTTCCCCCTCTTCCCCTTGGGCGCGCCTGGCCAAGGGTAGCCTCGAAGATACAGGCAGTCCGCGACGTTGTGGGCAATGTAGTAGAGGTTCAGCATGGCGGCAGGGCTGAGGATGTCTGGTTCCGGCCTCTTCAGCTTCTGCTTCTTCCCGCCAGTCTTGGCCCGGGGTTTCCCTTTCTTCCCTTTACCTGACTTTCAAAGGCAAGTACAGACATGGGAGAAAATTAGTTTCTATCACCTCATCCCCTTGATGGGGTTCTCTTCCTTCCTTTCTTTTTCTATTTTTCTTTCTTTTTTCTTTTTGGAGACAGGCTCTCACCATCTAGACCAGGCTGGCCTTGAACTCACGGGGATCTGCCTGACTCTGCCTCCCAAGTGCTGGGCTCAAAGGCGTGTGCCAACAAGCCCTGCCTTGAAGCAATTTTCTACATTCCTTATTGACTTGAAGGGGGAAAAAAGCCTAAAAGGAAAAAAACAAAACAACAACAAAAAAACCAAAACAATAACAACAAAGTGCCACAACAAATATGTTTGTGTGTTCAAAACAATTCAAAGATTCCCAACAGAGTTGATTAATGTCGGAGGAAATGAAAATGCTAGTCATTCGGATTTGATGTCTATATGTATATATCTCACATTATTGTATTGCATCCCACAGATATGTACAAATATCCCTTATCATTTTAAAAAATGCTTGCCTGGAGCAGGAGAATCAAATGCAAGCTAGTGTGCCATTCATATTTAAAGAAACCCAACCCAATGGGATGCATGGTCCTTGCACGGCCCTTCCTTGTGTGGCACTTTCTTGCATTCTTATTTGCATAAGCTTTGAAAAGACATTTTTGAGGGAAACCGTGAAAGCTGTCTGTTGGGTCTGATAATGGCATTTGCTGTGCACATGTCCCGGAGAGGCACACTGAAACTGCAGAGACAAAACAGAAGACTAGGAATCTGCTTTCCAGTACTGCCTTTCCCTCTCTGCCTACTGGAAAACAGAAACCACAGACAGACCTGGTAAGCTCTTGATACTTTCTGAACCCAAGGAGTGGGCCTATGGGGTTTATTTTATAAACTATTCTTGCATATTTCTGGAGGGGTGCACACTAAAAATTAAACTTAAAGCAACTTATACAGACAGGAGAGAAGTCCATATTTTGGTACTTGTCTTACAAGTACTTTTTACCTAAGCAGTCATGGGATTTAAATAAGATGTGGCTACAGGACTCGGTGGCTGAAGCGGGCACTGGGCAAATGATCCTGCTGTTCTCTTTATCACCACAGTGCGCTTCCCAGCGGACAGGCACCGTCCCTGTCTTCAAAATGACACAGCAGGGCCTCGGCAAGGTCACTTGGTAGACATCCAGTGACAGCCACCAGGCTCAGAGCCCACGCTCTTCGGATGACTAGCTGAAGAGGTCAGGGCTCTCTAGGAGCAGTGAGCGGGACTGGCAGCCACACAGCTGAACGGAACGTCTCTGCGTCCCATGACCACGTCACACACAGAGAAAATGACAGAGGGGCAAGCATTACTAAAGTGTCTCTTCTAGTTAGGGGAAGAGGGAGAACGCACAGATTATATTTACATACAACAGATATCTCGTTGATTAAATTTCACTTAAATGTCCCAAGTTAAACAAATAAAAGTTGGTGTGTTTACAAAACTAAAATGTATTTTTGTCAGGTGAAATGCAATTTATTCTTAGATACTATGTCCAGGATTCTCTCTCTACAGCATAGAGTGCTGCAATAATAAAGGTCCATTAGCAAAACAAAAGCAAAGAACCCCAATTAATACTTGAACCACACCAAACAAACAAACAAACAAACAGCCCTCAAAATTGATCATAGACCTCAACATAAAACCCCAAATCACAAAACCTCTCGAGACCTGTATGACTTTCAGTTTGGCCAAGATTTCTTGGATATGACATCAGAAGGACAGCCCATGTGCTGTGGTTTGGCTGTGAAATGTCCCCCACAGGTCTGTGTGTTTGGACACTTCCTTCCCTGCTGGTTGGGACGGGGCGGAGCAGGGCAGGGCAGGGTGGACTTTGAGGTTTTACAGCTGGGGCCCCCTTGCTGTTCTCTTCTCCCCGGTGGCCAGCTGACTTCACACTCCTGTAGCCACGCCTTCCCCACCATGAGGACTATCTCCTTTGGAACTGTAAGCCAAAAATAAACCCTTTCTCCTCAGTGTCGTCACGGTATTCAATCACAGCAACAGAAAAAGAAGTAACATGCCATGAAGAACAAGTTGCTAAGTTTGCAAACAAAAAGTAAAACATCTGCTTTCCAAAAGAGAATGAAAGCCAAGCCAGAGGCTGGGAGTAAATAATTCGAAATCAAGCATGTGAACAAGGCCTACCTCCACAGTAAAGAATGCTCAAAACACAATAGTTAGAGGGCCACCCAATAAAAATCTGCAAAATATTCAAAATGTTCTTTCCTGAAAAAGAGACGTGGGACATAAGCTCATAAACAGACTTAACACTGTTAGACATTAGACATATACAATGAAAACTACCAGATACCCAACACACACGGATTAGAAGGGCTTGTTATGACTGACCATATCAAGTGATGGTGAGGAAATGGAGGAACCGGAACTCTCATTCACTGTTGGTGGAGATTGAAACTGACAGAACTGCTTTGGAAGACAGTCTGGCATTTTCTTTTTAAGTTAAACACACCCCTGGCATTTAACCTAGCCATTCTATTCCTAAAGAAGTGAAAGCATATTCTATTTAAAGACTTGTACATAACTTCTCAAAGCGGCCTAACCTGTCAGAGCTACAAACAGAAATGTTCTCAAATGTTTCTCAGCAAATAAATCGATAAACATATTGTGATGTAACCATAAAGTGGAACACTACTGAGCAATGAGAAAAGATTAACTACATAAATGAATTTCAAAGTGATTAAGTAAAAAATGCAGATTGGCTGGGCCTGGTCAGCATGCCTTTAACCCCAGCACTCAGGAGGCAGAGGCAGGTGAATTTCTATGAGTTTGGGGTCAGCCTGGTCTATGTAGTGAGTTCCAAGGCAGCTAGGACTGCATGGGGACAATCTATCTCAGAAGTAAATAAGCACATACATAAATGAAAAAGGCAGCCCCCCAAAGCTAATAATGGTATACCTGTATGGAGAACACATTGTAAGCACCTTTACACATTAAGTCATCTCGCCGGCAGCCATCTACCCGTTCAGTTGGTTCACTGAAACCCTGTGGCTCCATTCTTGGTCTCAGATTACAATTTAGAACCTTAAAAACCCCATAAGGAAAACTACTTGGCTACATCTATGCTGGCTTTCTTTCTAGCTCCCAAACTTGTCAAGTTCCCCGTGTTTCTGGAGCCCCGCTTTTTCTGTAGGCTTTCGTATAACTGAAGGGGAATACTTTATCTCTTCCTTCTGACTCTACTCAAATATCACTTCTTTATAAAGACCTCCCCAGGCTCCTGGAGGCACTAGATATGCAGGTCAGTAGTAAAGCCCTTGCCTAGCAGGTACAGTGGCCTGGACTCGATTCCTACTACCAGCAAATAAGAAAAACCTCCCTGACACAGTGTCCATTTTTCCCTATACCTAGATCATACAACCTCTTACTGTATCATATACGTCAACATATACGTCAACAAACAAATGAACATAAACGGAGTCTATCCCAGGCAAGGTGTTGGTTCCAAGTCCTCACACAGTCTATCTGTAAAGTGCGCCCTTCACAAGGCCTTTGCCTCTGAAGTATCATTTTCTAGCTCCTTTCCTTAGGCATTTACTACTGTATTAGTTATTTTTCTGTTGCTGTGATAAAACACCATGACCAAAAACGATTTATGGAAGAGCAAGATTACTTCCAGCTTACAAAGGGACATTTCATATTAGTGAGGGAGGCGTGGTAGCAGGTGGCCAGGGCAGGGAGCTGAGAGTGAACTGGGAGCAAGGTGAGGCTATGAAATCTCAAAGCCCTCCTACAATGACGTACTTCCTCCAAAAAGGCTGCACACCTCCTAAAGAGCGCTGCCAACTGGGGACCAAGTATTCAAATATCTGAATTCATGGGGACATTTCTCACTAAAAACACCGCAATTAGAGGGTTTGCTTGTGAGCTCACCACCGAATTCCTTAGCCTAAACCACTGTCTGGTACACCAAATGGATGAGCAGGATTTGCTGAGGGAATAAATCAATTGCACCAGATGCTGTGTTGGTTCGGATCTGAAATGTCCCTAACAGGTCCGTGTTTGGAGTGTTTATTCCCAAGAGGGCCTTGAGGAGCCTTTAGGAGATGGGGCTTGGTGCCCGAAGCAGTCCCACTCTCTCCGCTCTCTGGCCTGCCACCATGGGAACAGCTACAGTCAGACCACTGCCATGAGCTCTGCCCTCTCCACTACGAGGGACTGGAACTTGAGAGCGTAAACGTGAATAAGCTTAGCCACTAAACTGTTTCTTCAGGTGTTGGGTCCTAGCCACCTGAAAAGGAATTAATAGAGAAGCAATGCAGGTACAGAGTGAGGGGAGAAACAAGTATTTCTGTTGTTCTCAAGTTCAAGATGCCTTTTTCATTCATTCAACAAGTATTTCCAAATTCCTCCTGTGTCTCTGTCTCTATACTAGATACAGAGGAGAGTGCTGTCCTCATGAGGCTCAGTCCAGTGAGGGGAAAAGACACCCGCCTTTTATCACAAACACATTGATGGAACCACCATGCTGGGAAAGAGGGGCCTAGGAGCACCTGGCATCAGGGCAGGACAGGCAGAAATACAGGGCACGGTCCAGGCACCGTCCTGGAGAGCAGGCTGAAAGGTCAGAGGGTTTGTAAGCAGAACAGACGGCCCAATAGGACGTGGAGGTCGGAGAGGCCACGCAAAGACGAAGAGACCCAATTAGGTCAGAGTGTCTGTCCACAGACAAATGGGGTGACGGTGGGGTGGGGAGGGCAGTGAGAGGAGTTGAGTCTGGCGAGCGGGGGCAGAGCTGCTCAGGCCTCCGGGCTGTAAACTAACAAGTTGGTCATCTAAAAGCAGGGGGAAGCTTTGTAAATCATCCAGCGTCACTTTCCTGAGTCTGGAAAGAAAACAGTAGCAATATATAAATTTAAGTCAAGAGACACAGCACTTTTACTTAGTGCTGTACTTAGTTTCAGAAGGAAGTGGAAGGACCACACACAGACTTACCAAACACACCCCCACATTGCAGGTTAAAAGGAAAGCAAGACCGGCAGGACGCCAAAAGTGAGGTGCAAAGGGTTATGGGTGCGTACCGAACAAGAGGAAGCAGGAGGCATTTCTAGTGTAGGAGATAAAAAGATGAGTAATCCAGGGAGGGCAGCTACAAGGAAATTTCCGGAAGAACATAGGTCTAGTGCGGGGAATGCTTTTTTTTTTTTTTAAAAAGCAGAAATGGTAATATGATAAATGTGCCAGCAATTGAGGCCTCTTTACCATGGGTGCTGAGCGGCAAGTTCCAACTGCGCAGACTTCACTTAGCTGCTAACAGTGAGTCCCTGAGGACTGTGGAAAGGGACAACAAAACCAAAGCCGTTCTAGAAAGAAAAATGAGACTGGGAAGAGGTCACCAACTGCAGGACCGGGCTGAAGAACAGGAATACTGGCAGAAGTGGGGGGTAGGGAAGGGTGGGGTTCGGTGTAGTATGGACGCCCTCATCTCCCTCCAGGGCCAACCTTACTTTCTACAAAGAATCCCGCCCTGCAACTCAGAGCAGCCTGGACAATCCCTATTGGCACGTACTTAAGTTTTGGGGTTCCCAGAGGATGCACGGATTGCCAGGAATCAGAGGAAGGACAGCCCAGAGACCTTAGATAGAACCAAACAGAGCTTGAAAAAAGGGGGGGAGTCAATAAAATTCCTAGTGATAGTCTGTTATACTCAGAGATTGGTGCCTAGCACAATTGTCATCAGAAAGGTGTAATCCAGCAAAGGATGGGAGCAAATGCAAGATCCATATAGCCAGGGGAACCCCCACAGAAGGTTGAAAAGATTATAGGGTCAAGGAGAACCCACCCCACTGAATCAATTAAGTAGGGTCCATAGGAGCTCATAGAGACTGAATCAACAATCAGGGAGGCTCCATGGGTCAAGAGCTATGTCCTCTGCATATATGTTATGGTTGTGTAGCTTGATCTTGTGGGACTCCTAACCGTGGGAGTGGGGATGGGGTATCTCTGACTCCTTTGCCTGCTCTTGGGATCCTTTTCCTCCTACTGGGTTGTTTGTCCATCCTTGATATTAGGGTTTGTGCCTAATCTTATTATAACTTGTTATGCCAAAAAAAAAGTTTTGGGGTTCCAAACCTCATCGCTGATCTCCCTCTATTTCCCACACGCCAAAGCATCTTTTAGGATCGAAAGTAACAGCATAGGACCAAGGGAGGAAAACCATCTCACAGAAAGGGTGCAGCCTGAATCTGCTGCTGCCGTCCAGCAGATGCAGACTACCTTAAGTCCCTCCCACGACACGCTGGGTAGAACTGTACCTGTGGCCATGACAGAAGACTAGGTGGAAACTCTAAGGCTACCGGGGTTAAGGTGAGCGCTGGCGAACCCCTCCCACTTCAAGATGTGTAATCCACGGCCATTTCTTTCTCATCTGAGCAGCTGATTGTTAACACCAGTCCCCAGTCTCGAAATTCAGACCCCACATGCCCCCCACCCACACTCCCGGCGTCGAGGTCCCCGCGCCCCCTCCTGCCCCTTCCCTGGCCCCGCCACGGCTCTCACCTGCGCATTGCCGCCTGCCCCCGCCGTGGCCTCAGTTGGGTGCCCTCGCTGTGTGAGGGGGCACAGATACTTTTGGGGGAGCTGGGCGGGCTCAGCAAGTTGCCAGCCACTGGGCCGCTGGTCAAGGCCGGGCTCACCCGATTCTAGGGGCTGGGCGGCGCGGTACTTAGAGAACACCTTGCAGACCACCTGGGTCTTGCTCACATACGCCGCCCAACCACGCATTGTTTACTGTTGCCAAGGTACCGGGGCGGGGCGTGCAACAATTGGGCGGAGCCTGACCGGCCTTCCTACGCCGAGGGGCTCTGTGTTTGTGTTCTGAAATGGCCCGCTAATTGGGCTGTCGCTTTTCGCTTTTCTTTGCTGTTGTTGACAATGGCTACGAACCCCAACTGGGCGCTCACTAAGATAGTTTTGCCCCTGGCGATACGACTGGGAGGGCACGAAGAGAAGAGGCGGGCCACCCAGATGGCAGCTTTGCCTTTGGGTGGGAAAGGCTAGGGAGAGAGCGCAGGCTAAATCACTCTCTGGAAACCACCGGAAACTCCTTGACCTCTCCTGGAAAACAAGAATAAGGTCTCTGAGGGCTGAAGTGAAGAAAAGTCGGCTTAAAAAAAAAAAAAAAAAAAAAAAAAAA